TGAAAAAAATCACTATTTCGTCTTGTTGTCAAAATTAAGTGGCCGAAATCTAATAAAACACTAAATTTACTTTTCTTTTCATTGAATACTGCATATTTATACTGAATTGATTAAAACCTTTTGTCTAGGGTCACTGCTTTGTGCAACATTTATCAGGTATCGATTATTATTTGTAAATGCAGCTGCAATAGTCTAATTGGATGATCGAATTCAGGCCGGCATGGAGTTGGATTTCGGTTTCAATTGGACAACTTTGAAGTTGCTTGACTCACGGACTAGAATAACAGAAAAATGCCTTTGCAGCAGATAAATTTTCAATATTTTTGTCGCAGAGGACTAGGCCCCCTAACAGAGGAAAGACCGGCTTTGCTGGCTGCGGCTCCACTGACTTAACGACTGATTGGTTATTTGGAATTCCATTTAGACTATACTGAACCATGGGCTTGAACAACAATGTTCAAAATTTTATCCCGACGTCACATCTCCGCGGACTGTAAACGATTGATTGGTTGATTGGAATTTTCCAAATTTAGTTGGGGAGGTTGCTACACGGTAAGCTCCGCTAACGACCGCCACGGCTGTCTGTAATCCTGAGTTATGGTGGGCATTTCAGTTCCAGCCCCCCCTACCATTCTTATTCTGTGCACCTATGGGTATGTGAATGAATATATACTCTTCAAAAAAAGTAGGGGATATTCAGAAACAATACAAAACTGCGGAAATGCACTGCTGTTTTTATTAGAGGTAACCAGTGTATGTTAATAACAGGCCAATTGCCTACACATGAAGATAAACAGTTCATATGGGCGGCTTATCTGACGGGGTGATAAGTTCTTCACCTGTGAACATACTCCCAAAGCATGTCAAGTGTCTATGACTATTTATCATATCACAACCGGCATAGGTATTTCAATATCCCCTATTTTTGTTGAAGAGTATATATGACACATAATAACAATGATTATATATATGCCTATACATAATAACAATGATTATATATATGCCTATACAGGCTTAGAGGGGAGTGGTTTTTCAATGGTGGAAGCTTAACAATACAAATATTTCTAAGAGTGTTTTGATTTAAAGCTGACACACCTATATCTAACTATCCGAAAGAATTTCTCACTTGGTGCATTACTATCTAATGATCATTTGAAGTATGTCAGTTATTACATGTATATTATACACAGGTCACGATTCTATGGAATACAATTACTGCTTATTACTGAGCATTGCTTGATAGACAAAATGTCGCTTAGTAATAAGCAGTAATTGTATTTCATACTATTGTGACCTGTACATCTCCAGTATTAAACGCCAATGAAACATCTTACATGTATATTGTCTCAAAAAGCTTGTACTTGTATTACTAAATCATTAATTAAGATACTTTAGCAGAAATTCTTGTCTATTTTTACAAAATGATATCACAAAATTATTACAATATGCATTTACCATTCATGCAAAAACCATTATTATTACTCTTAAATAGTATTAAATGAAAACAATTTACCAAGAACTCTGCTGAGCTGATGGATTGTTTACAGATTATTTAATATTTATTTCCATCTGCTGAAGGACTTGGAATGTCTGTAGATCCGCTGTTTTTTAGGCATGGTATGCGTATGATGTTATTTCTATACATGATGAACAGTCCAAGGACTGTCTGTGCTACCCATGCAAGAAAACATATCCATGCACCACCCTGCAATATTTAATAGCAAAAATAGCATTAAATACAATGTTTAGTCATTTAGTTTATTGTGGGGGTTGAATGTCCACTAGATCATTTCAGGACTAACATATGATGCAATTTATTTCAATAATTCTCTTGCACATAGGTGTTTTTTTTAGCAATCGGAGCCGAAGAAAACCCACTAGTTTGGGAATGGCAACCCTACTACTTGTTACATACAAACGAGGAATCAAAAACATGACACAATTACAGACCTTATGATCTAACATGTACGTGTTAAATGAAATGAAATGAAATGGGGTTTAACGTCCTACTGTTCTGCTCCTATACTGGGTTAATGAAGACGGGCATACGCCATACAGTGTGCTATGAGGGAAATTTTGCCCGGGCAGCGGCACTATCGCCTACTCTTATATCGAATTCCAACTGCCAAGGGATCTTTAACGTGCATTCCAATGTTTACACGGGACCTCGGTTTTCCGTCTCATCCGAAGGACTAGACAGCTGTCCTTGTCAGGCCCTCCGTCCTGCATCACTGACAAGAGGAAACCACATCGGAAAATCGGGATGAACTTTCTCGGCCAATGCAGAGATCGAACACCTGACCTCCCGGCTAGCAAGCCAGAGCCTTACCCACCTAGCCACCGTGGCTCCTGTACGTGTTAAACCATCTGTCCACCCAGCATGTGTGACTGTGATAGAAAGTTGTTCATTATAAAAGTAAAAAAAATATGAAATGAAATTGTAATGTAATCTTAACAAGCCAACAGTGAGGCTGATGTCCCCCGCCGAAATCCCAAAATAAATAGATGACACATATTAATTAATCGCACATTTATTTTTTTCAAAAGTATCGAGCAATCAAACTATACACAGTTTCATCACTCTCTATCAGATAGAATCAAGATTATCTTGTCTCAAACCATCAACCAATGAAATTGATTAGCTCTGCTTAGCTTCATCTCGAAATGTTAATCATTGAACTCAGTCAAGACATTCACCTAATGAACATCTACATGAAGTTTAAACATTCTACCTCAATTAAAAGCAGAGATGTTATGTTCCAAAGTCTTGACCAATCAAATTGCTTATCGCTCCTAAGCCTAAACAGAAAATTCTCACCATCGAAATTAGTCAAGGTAATGAATGCCTACACCTACCCTCAGCAGAAAAAGTTCATTATCGAACTTAGTCAAGATATTGATGTAATGAAACTATACACCAAATTTCATCTCTCTCACTTAATTAGAACTAAGTTATCGTGTCCCAAAGCATCAACCAAATTGCTTATCTCTGCTTACCCTAAGCAGAAAATGTTCATCTTCGAACTCCATCAAGGCATTGACCTAATACACACCTACACCAAGTTTGAACATTCTAGCTCAATTAGAAGGAAAGTTATTGTGTTACACAGTCTCGGCCAATCAAATTGCTTATCGCTCTGCTTACCCTGAGCAGAAAATGCTCATTATCGAACTTAGTCAAGGTATTGATGTAATAAAACTCTACACCAAGTTTCATCACTCTCACTTAATAAGAACTAAAGTTAAAGGGTCCCAAAGCATCAACCAATCAAATTGCTTATCTCTGCCTACCCTAAGCAGAAAATGCTCATCTTCAAACTTCATCAAGACATTGACCTAATAAACACCTACACCAAGTTTGAACATTCTAGCTCAATTAGAAAGAGAGTTATTGTGTCCCAAAAAGTGTGACGGACGGACAGACAGACGGAGAGACAAACCCATTTTAATAGTCCCCTGCTTTCTTCGAATGGGGGGGGGGGGCAATTAGTATGCTTATTTATATTTTTTTACTTACCTCAGCTATAGCTAAATTGTTATAAAACATATCATGTTTACCACTTGAATTTACAATTAAAAATATATCCCTGCAACTAGATAAAACAATTAACATATATTAAAACAGGTACCATATATAAAACATAACAATTTGGCTACCATAAGAATTTCTAAAAGATCGAAGCATTTGTAGCCTATAGTGAGTGTACTAACAAGAAATATTAAGGACAGACAGATATATGTAGACATAGGAATAACTCTGAAAGGTATTATTGAAAAATTCACATCTTTTTAAATTTAAATCACACGAATTTTACTTTCATCAACAGAATGTCTACTTTCAGCTTTCGGCTATAGACTTTCAACCACATATTTTCTCAAATAGAATTTCTGTTACCAACTGGCTCATTCCCTCATAGCACCCTGCATGGCATATGCTCACCACCATAAACCCAAACCCCATTTCATTTCATTTGGTCCCATCCAAACAACTAGTCAGGAGTACTTGTCTGGCCCTCCATCCTGCACCACTGACATGGAGAAACCTCACCGGAAAATCCCAAGGAACTTTCTCGACAACACCAGGAGCGAACCCAAGACCTCCAGGCTAGCGAGCTAGTGTCTTACTCTATGAGCCACTGTGACTCCCTGTCCAAAATTGTGGTTAACTTAAAGGATGCATATAAATTTCATACAGATCGGATGATAATTTTGGTTGTTAGAGCGTCCACAAGGTGCAATAAAGTGAAACAAGAACCATAACTCAAGAAAAAATTAACGGAATTAAAATTAATTAGGCTTCTTCATCTTACTAATGTAAACAACATATATCAATTCCAAAACCATCAGATGCTAAATGTAGCCTGTAGAGTGTTAGGGGGGGTGGATGGCCGAATGTTTAGCACGTGCGCACTTTATCAGAAGATCTGTCATTGAGTCAACTGGCATGGGGTCGCCTGTTATTCCCGAAATGACCTAGTTCGAGTCGTGGGGACGTTAAACTTTCTGCACCGACTGGGCTGATGAAGACAGACATATGCCATACAGTGTGGTATGCGGAAAAATTTTGCACAGATAGCGACATTATGGACTACTCAAATATGGCCTACTATTAGTACTACTATATCAAATTCCAACTGTCAATTGTACTTTTATGAACACACCAATGTGTACACAGGACCGCAGATTTTTTTCATCCCCTCCAAAAACTAGACATTATCCGTTCTGCACCTCTGACAACGTTAAACCTTGCTTGAAAACCCTGGCAAATTTTCTCAGCCAACACCGGGATCGAAAACGAGACCTGGTTAGCAAGCCAGGATCTTACTTACTAAGCCAACGAGGCGCCATGGCAGAAGACAAAATAGGACCAGTTTGGTATGTCAGCTTGTCAAGAAGATAGGTTAAAAAATGTATGGCAAGAGCAGCTAAAGTTTGTCAAATATCTATTCTTTGGTAGTTACATGTAATGGGAGCTAATATTAAAGTTCTTAGATACTTACTGATAATCAGTTGGGGTAAAACTATCACAAAGTGTTTTTAATCCTACTGATAAAATACAGGCTGTAACTAATACCAGAAACAGTGATACAGCATCAACTACAACATTTACGATAAATAAAATTCCTTTAAACTTTTCACTGAAATCAAAAAAAACACATAATATTATGCAATATATAATACACGTAATATAAAAGCTAAATAGTTCAAAGATAGGCTGCTAGTCAAAAAAACATACGCCCACAGCAGCTAAGTCGGATATTCACTTTAGTGTCTAGAGAATCCACAAAATATTTCAAAGTGATCAAGGGCCATAACTCTGGCAGTAATTATCGGAAAGCATTGAATATCAAAAGGCTTCTTCATTTCATAACCTTAAACACTGTGTATAAGTTTAAGTCAATTCCCTGGGCAGGATACGCCCACATTTTCGAGAGATGGATAGAGAACAAGCTAAAAAGAAAGTGATTTTTCCTACAATCAAGGGCCATAATTCAGGAAATTACAATTCGATATGCGCAAATATCGAAAGGAACCGAGATCTTTGTGTTATAAACTTACATTTCAAGTTTCAACAAAATTGGATGAAAATTGTGACCTCTATAGGGTCCACAACCTTGATATACCGTATTTTTACGCTATTTGAGAACGAACGGCGGCCATTATGTCTGTCAATTTTGGGCCGATTTTCACGAAATTCAAACTCAGACATCCTTATGGTGTAACAGTGATATAATAATACGGTTTTTTAAATCGGATAAAAATTATGACCTCTATAGGGTCCACAAGCTAAAAACGTGATTTTTCGTACAATCAGGGGCCATAATTCAGGAAGTTACGGTCCGATATGCGCGAATATCAAAAGGAACCGAGATCTTTGGGTTATAAACTTACATTTCAAGTTTGATCAAAATCGGATAAAAATTGTGACCTCTATAGGGTCCACAACCTTGATATACCGTATTTGATAGCCATTTTGTCTGTCAATTTTGGGCCGATTTTCACGAAACTCGAACTGAGCCGTTCTTAGGGTGCAACGGTGATACAATAATACGTTTTTTTTAAATCGGATACAAATGATGACCTCTATAGGGTGCACAAGCTAAAAACGCGATTTTTCCTACAATCAGGGGCCATAATTCAGGAAGTTACCGTCCGATATGCGCGAATATCGAAAGGAACCAAGATCTTTGGGTTATAAACTTACATTTCAAGTTTCAACAAAATCAGATAAAAATTGTGACCTCTATTGGGTCCACAAGCTAAAAACGTGATTTTTCGTACAAACAGGGGCCATATTCCATGAAGTTTCGATTCGATACATGCCAATATCGAAAGCAGCCGAGATCTTTTGGAGATAAACCTATATTTCAAGTTTCGTCAAAATCGGATAAGAATTGTGACCTGTAGAGTGTTCACAAACAAATTGTGGACGTCCGGACGGATAGGGACGACGACAATATAGGTAAACATGAAAATGTGGGCGTATAAAAATTTAAAGGCAGGAAAATAAATTGAATTACTTTTAAATCATACCATATTCAAAATAACCCTACATGTATTTGGATTCCCCTAATATGTAAGCTTACGTGAAATTACGCACTTTTGATAAGCATTCAAACAACTACTGAAAACTTTGTACCACTTGTACATTTATATTGAAAATTAAATCATGTATATTTCAGATAAGTACTGATGATGTGACCAATTTTCTCACACTATGAATATAATCTAATTCAAACACAGTCAAATATAGGCTTACTAATCAAATCAGACCAATCCAAGTAATTTCTTTTATGAACTGGTCGACACCTCCAAAACAGTATGCATCTTTAAGCCATCTGAACAGCTAAGAAGAAACCTAAAAGGTACTGTTTATTACACCAGACAATCAGTCAGACTGAACACTTCAGTGACATCATATAAGCCTAAATGTGATTCTTACCTGTCGCTGATAATTTCAAACAGTCTGAGAGCTCCTATTACTGTCATGAGGCCACCATATATAAAACAAAACAAAACTCCAATGGCAATACAGAAACTGCAATTTGATTTACTGGGATAGTCTGTTTCTCTCTCGGCATACAATATGCAATTCCCATCATGTACATTCTAGAAAAAAAATAAGGAACTTACTGTATACATTATATAAAAGTTTATGAATTGTCATTTTCTATTGTATTACAGACAAATAAAGATGAATAAAGATGGTTGTCGCGTGAAATCACTTGAAATTAACATTTAAATTGGCATACATGTAACTGAAAAGCAGACAGATGATGTTTAAGATTATGAGTAATATTCAATAATAGATTACCGATCTTAAATTTAGTAAAAAACAAACCTGGCATGTTTTTTACAATTGAATGACTGAACTTCAAATTGCCAAAACTGATGCTTGGAATAATCTATATGAATAACAATGTAATATCAAATACATGATTAAAGAATAGGCATGGTATGATAAATTTAACATAGATCGTTCGAAGCATCAGTTATGGCAATTTTAAAGGAGCTAAATCGCTAATATTTGGGACCTAGAAATTGACCCAAATGGGTCGAAACACATATAATAATGTAATCTGATTGTATATAAAGTGATTTACATTCAATTGTTTCTGTTTTTACTATAATTTCAAATCAGTTATATCCAGCGAAATACGGCATGTGTCTCAACCCTATAGCAATTTCTAGCGTCCGGTTATTCCAATCTATTGAGCAGGCTCTCCAGTTGAATATGTCTAGCCTCGTTCTTTCTGGTCACTTGTTGCAAATGACGCTAAAACGCACTATGGTACATGATCGTGTACCAATGGTAAAATGTTTATTTTGTCTTAAATATTGGATATCAGAAGCCTGCCTTTTCCTGGTAAGATCACAACATCAATGTTGATTTGAATTGACAAATAATTCGTATTTTCAATGTGTAAGACTTTGGATGATATTGAGTTAGAGACTTAGCTACTTTAAGTTCAACTACCATGACATTGTGATTAGAAAGTAAACTTAAATTAGCAAACTTAAATTAAGTAAGAAAAGGGCAATGAGGAGAACATTCCAATATACCGCTTTTTTATTCTGAAATTCAATACCTCAAAGTGTGAAACATGCGTCTTCATGTTTTATTTTCAAAAAGGAATTAGTAAAACATGTCAAATCTTTTAACCCTTGGTAATTACTCAGCTGTCGTCCTCTGAATGTATATTTATTTGCCATTTCTTCTTTCTTGTTTGTAAATATGTGTAAATATTGTTACTGTGTAGTTGCTAGTTTTAACTTTTATAGAGTAGGAGGGACACGTTAGAACTCGTGTACTAAATATGTTCCTTCAGAAAATAAAGTCATTACTATTATTATTATAATGATTCAACTGTAAACAGATCAAATTATCTTTACTAAATTTACCCACTATATTCATAATCTTAAACATCATCTGTCCACATTTCATTTAACTACTACATGTACATTTACTTTTCTAGTGATGCCTGTATCACTACCGGTCATGGATGGGAAAGTGCAGAACATATTTTATCATTTATTATTAAAAATGTCTGTGAGTAGTGTAAGCTATGTGTCTTGTCCAAGTGTTTGTCTTCTGTGTTTCTGTTTGGTTGTGCAGGACAGGGGGTCTGGCAATTCAGTTAACTACTACATTTATATTTTAGTGAAGCCTGAATCCCTACACACTCATTATGTCTGTGTGTAGTTAGGGGCTGATTGGGGCCGGAACCGACCCGGGCTCCCGTGTCAGAGCGGCCCCTTTTACTGACCAAGGAGCCCAGACGGTGGGTCTTGGAGCCAGTTGCGGCGCCAGGGAGGGGCAATTAAAAAAAGTATTTGGTCAGATAGACTAGTGATCAGGTGACAGATGGCATCTGAGCTCTATTTATCTCTAATCGGTGCCTGAATACTGTCAGACGACATTTCCGACAGTGTTTTTTTTCAAAATTTTCTTGGGGAGGTCGCCAATACCCCCCCACAAGGACTCGCTACTTCGTTGAATATCGTAAGTCCGTTCGTTTGAAATTTTGTTCTCTGGTCGGATAAACTAGTGATCAGGCGATGGACGGTATCTGGTCAGATCTATTTATCTCAACTGGATACTGTCAGACATTATTTCTGGCAGTTTATTTTTCAAAATTTTCTGGGGGAGATCCCTACTTTGCACTCATGAGTGGGCTACGTCTAGGTTCGCAAGTCCGTTCGTTTGACACTTTACCTCAACGATCAGTGACTGAAAATCTTCTGGGGGAGCCCCCTACCCTAGTTGAAGCTCGTGCCTTTGCCCCCTTAACCTTGGTCTTTGCCCCAGCTTTGCCCCTCCAACCACCGACGACTGGCGGCGTCACTGCAGGGAGCTCTCCCCCGTGAAAATTTTGAAAAATGAACCCCAAACATGTGATTTTGCGGCATATCATATAATTTATAATCTCTGTCAAATAATATATCACATAAATCGATTAATTTGGGCAAAAAACCCCAACCTGCAAGTAATTTACAACCACCAACCTGTGAGTTTATCATATCGTCATATTATTAATTAACTAGGACAGGTCATGTCAAACGGTCACGCCAGATTCTTATCTGGAGAGCATCGCAATAAATTCTATCGGTGTAGACTGGAATAACCAATCGCTAGAGATTGCCATTCAATTGAGACTTTTGGCGTATTTCAGCAAACATAACTGATTTGAAATTATGAGTAAAAACGGAAAAGATTGAATGTAAATCAGCCTATATACGTTGATATTACATTATTATATGCGTTATGACCCATTTGTGTCTATTTCTGGGTCCTAAATATTAGCGATTTATTCTTTGGCCCCTTTATTAATGCTAAGCCTACTTTACCTACCATGCTATAACTGAAAATTTCATTGAAATAATCAGTAGCTATAGATTATAATTACGTTCTGAAGCCATTTACATTAAGACTATTATAGAATTCCTGCTTACAACATTTGTTAAAAAATAGCCACTCCCTTATAGTTAGTGTCTACCTTTGTGTCTTTCTAAAATAAACAAATTTATTTAGAATTTAAGATTATTGTCTCGAACATCCAGTGAGGCCCTCCACAAAAGTAGGTCAATCAAGTTGTTGATAAAATAATAGAAGCTAGATTAAAATTACGTACAAACAATTAACAAATGAACATTAAACCTTACCATCTGCAAAGATAATGGTGAAAATATAAACATGCCCAGCAAGAAAATGAGGGCATACAATGCTGTTCTTATTACAAGAAACAAACGTTCTGTAGGTAATCCCATCTTTAGGAGTTTTCAAGTTGACAATTCCTCTTCTTACGGAAACAACTGTCACTCATAAAAAAAAACACACTACGTTCGTTCGTAGGGTTTCACGTCCGTTTCCACCTTGGGTGATATCGCAGACAATAAAAAAAAACACTAGGCCTGATCCGTTTGGATTTGTTCGTTCCTGGAGTTTTACGTCCACTTCCACCAAGGTGGTATCGTAGACAGTTACTATCCGTGTGTGTGAAATAGCTTTTTAAGTTTAGTTAACGTCCGCTTCAACAGAACTGATATCGCATACAATCACTACCCGTCTATATCATGGACTCAGACTAGTATTTTAGTAATTATAAATAGACAATTTTTCCCAGTCAACATTAAATCCCCGTAGCAAAAAATTTAATGGGTGAACCCCCTACAAAATTATGATGACGAGATTGCCAAATGTGGTCCCCATTGTGCCTATAAAGATTGGAAACAACGGAATGGTGAGCAAAAAGCTACAGCCTGTGATGTTACAGCCATTTAACATTGAAGTCAATGGGCAAATAATTGCTAGCCGGAGTCCATTATAATATGATATCTGGACACAGATCACCAAATTTTCCTACGCCAAAGCTATTTTTAGTCTTCCTCTCCCTTTTCCTTTTTCCCCCTTTTGCATGGCGATTTTTGTTGACTTTTTGGTGTAGAATCGAGGAAAAGGGTTTGAAAATACATTTTCTGCCAGGTTTTGGTGAATATTCATAATTTTGATGCGGAAGGATACAAGAGTTGAGAGGTTGGTTACGTTGAAATGTAGGGCCTGAAATTGCATGTTTACTTGTCTCTACTTCCAGCTTGTGTATCTCAAGTTTTTCATGAAGAACCTCATACGTGCTTTTGGGCAAGTGGTTGCCACATGTTGCTCCATCTGTGGTAGAAAGCGTTCTACCCAACGAAAATTTGGGAAAAAGTTAGAGCCGGTCTAAGATACGAGAATTAACATTGGAGTCAATGGGGAAATCTTTAGTGATGTGTATCCATCTATTTATAGCTCCAGAATAATATCAGGCTGGTTAATCAAGCAATGTCGGCAATCGAAAGTCTTCGTTTTGTTTTACTTCGTTAACGAGGTCTTTGACATGACCAATTAAGCAATGGTGGAGTATTTACACACACATGTTGTGGGACGTCAGTGACTCAACTGGCGACAGTGACCCAACTGGCGGGTCAGATTTTGTTTCCTAAACTATAGCCTAAACACAATTAATGAAATCAAGCTGATTGGGAATATAGAAATTTCGGACTATGTTTATGACTCATTCGGGCCACAATTTGGCCGATTCGGTCGTCCATCATTGGGTCCATATTTATGATAGAAAAATTTACCAGAACACTGGGTGATTTGATGATATATTTGGACTAAAAACATATTCAAACTAAGTAATTTATCATAATTTTGCTTCAAATCCTTCTCAAAACATTGAAATTGCCAAGGAATATCCTGCTATAAAAATCGACCAAAAGAGGTCATGTTTGTGTCACGTGACTTACCTCTCTCGGTACCTATAGCAACGGGTGCGAAGTAGAAGGATAATTCATTGTATACACAGATGTTGTCTTTAATCGCTGACTATTTATTACAAATATCGAATCCTAATTAAATTCTCGCATTAAAAATATTATCCACTGCCCGCGTCTTTTTCCGTGATTTTTATCTCAGAAAATGTTGTACGTCTAAATCTTCATAAAGTTTATCAACATGTACACCAAGCGCTCATTCTTCGCGTAGGTATTCCTAATCGTCGGGCTGTAGATTAGGGGAACCCTTACATTTTTGTCCTGTATACGCCCCATGAGGGTTGTTCGGGGAATCCAGTTCTAGTAAGATTGGATATCTCTACTTTCCATATTACAAAATTGCCATACTTTTATTGGAAATAACCACCGATAAATACTTTTTCTGGGAACCTATCTTTAACTAAGTTTAAAATTGGCCTATGTGCTTTAATTTACACCAGTTTAAGTTAAAGAAGTCTCAATGGAATGGCAATCTCTAGCGTTATTTCAGTCTACACCGATAGTATTTATTACGCATGCTCTCAGATAAGAATATGACGTCACCGTTTGACATGACTTGTGGAATATGTCCCGTGCTACAAATGGCGCTGAAACGCATTTTACGTGTACCAATGGTAAAATGTTTATTTTGTCTTAAATATTGGATATCAAAAGTCCATCTTTTCCCGGTAAGACCACAACATCAATGTTGATTTAAATTGACAATTAATTCGTCTTTTCAATGTCGAAGACTTAGGAATATATTGGGTTAGAGACTTAGCTACTTTAATTTCAATAATTACCGACAATATGTCTCAAGTGTTTTAAAAAAGTGACCGTCAAGGAAAGATATAGATGTGCATATATTCTGAACATCAAATCCAAAATTTAAATAATTTCATAAAAATATTGTCAGGAAGTGAAAATGCTTACATCGTCTCTCCTAAAGTGCCCATAACTACCGATTAATTCCTTCTCAATAACATTTACCGGTATGTCATCATCTTTAAAATTTCGAAATTTCAATAAGCTTTTTGCACAAGAAAAAAATGGGGTTTTTTCATAGTAATCAGAAAACAAAATGCTTCTTCGTTTCTATTTTTTTACGTCTAAATTTTAGGGATTGAATGTCATGTGCGTATTGATTGTCACTGGATAAAGATTCCAAAAATTGATTTTTTATCCACTTCAAATATATAATATCGTCCAAGCTTTCACTAAACTGATTTTACCTTTTAATGGGTATAGATCAAAGAGCTAGCCATGAAGTTCACATGCAACTTTGAAACTACAATTTTCTTAGAATTTTGAAATATCAACAACGTCATCAGTGATTCTTTCGATAAATTCACGTATGATGTTCATTCCACATTTCATAGAAATCTCTCTAGGTTCCTTGGTAGAAGTTTGTTCTTTGGATAAAATACATGAGAAAATGGTGCCCACGTTAACCACAACCTCAACATCACAGACATAATATCTCGACTTAGATTTTAAAATACAGAGTTTGGGGGTTCTGAATTTACCTCGAATAAACCTCCGTCTTGTACCACTGACAAGGGAGAACTACGCCTGAAAATTCACGAAGAACTTTCTCGGTCAACACAGGGATCGAACGCGGGACCTCTAGGTTAGTCTTTGGTAGTTAAATGGGGTCTATGGCTGCCCTGAATTCACGAACTCAAGTTCACATGTTCAGGCCTCCGCAAAATTTATGTTGCGTGTTCCATTTTAATGGCCCACGAAAGATAATTTGAAAGCTATTATGAAGTATGGGTGGGAATGTCACAGTCCGATTTCCTGGTTAGACTCCTTTCGCATGGACAGTCCGATAACGTTCCCCGGGAATTTCCAGCGTGGTTTCTCCATATCAGTGGTGATGCAGGACAGAAGGCCTGAAGGAAAAACGTGTAATCGTCCGGATGGGACGAACTATCGATGTCCCGTGTAGCCTACACGTTTGCGTGCACTTAATAAAAGAACCCTTGACAATTGGAATTTAATTGCTGTCCAGGCAAATATACTCTCATAGCACACATTCTATGGCCTATACCCGTTTCAACGTAACACATGGTTAGTAAAGTAGGACGTTAAACCCCATTTCATTTCATTTCATGTTGCTTCACCATGTTTCCATTGTCTTTAAGTAACATATGGCTAAAAAGCTTTTCAACAACCTCAACGAATTAATAATAAGAGCCACCAGAAGGTGGTACATCGTCCTTGTAGAAATTTCCAGTGTACAAGGCCATAGATCACTAATTATTTACCCATTGACTTTAATGTTAATTCTCGTCTCTTGCCCAAAAAGCATGTATGAAGTTCATCATGAAAAACTTGAGATACACAAGCTGGAAGTAGAGACAAGTAAACATGCAATTTCCGGCCCTACATTTCAGCGTAACCAACCTCACAACTCTTGTATCCTTCCGCCTCAAAATCATAAATATTCACCAAAACCTGGCAGAAAATGTATTTTCAAACCCTTTTTTTCGATTCTACACCAAAAAGTCAACAAAAATAGCCATGCAAAAGGAGGGAAAGGGAGAGAGAGACTAAAAATAACTTTGGCCCTTCAATTTACACGTTAGCATATTTTTTATTTTTCTTTACAATAATTTTATTTTTCTTTACAATAATTTTATTTTTTAGTACATATACATAACTCATAATACATAAATATAACACAGTAATACAGTAATAGATGTACCAGATATTGTTATTATTATAAATTGTATGATACCACAGGATAGATTCCATGATATTAATGTACAGCATCAAAATTATCAATTTTTATCGTATGGTTCAGCTTGCTTCACAATCCAATTCAGTAGTCATAACTTGGTTCCTTTAGGAATGGTCTCTGATCGGATGCTGTCCTCTGACCGTTCCTGTTCATCCCTATTAAGCTGCAGCATGAAAATACCACTCTACCCCACCTCTGTTCTAGGGTTATTTTGTAACCCTTACCTTCTATTTTCCACCGTAATTCTTCTTATTTCGCCAAAAGGAATCATTTCTCGCCACATCTGACAAAAATATATAATAATTCAACGCTATTTCAAGTAGAATTTTGCGATTAAAAAACATAAACAAAATTCGCGTTTGCGCAGACAGGAGGTCGCGGTTTCGTGGCTGAATCGCAAAATTCTACTTGGAAATAGAGTTGGATAGCCTACATTTGTGTCAGATGTGGCGAGAAATGATTCCTTTTGTCGAAAAAAGAAGAATCACGGTGAAAAATAGCCTTAGAACAGAGTTGAAGGTAGAGCGGTATTTTCATATTGCAGCTTAATAGGGATGAACAGGAACGGCCAGTGGACAGCGTTCAATCGGAGATCAGAGACCGTTCCTAGGAATTAGTCATAACTCTGCTATTAAAGTACGGATTCTTGACTTTATTTTAAGGGGGGGGGGGACTAACCCGACAGACACGTTACCTTCTTCTTTTGGGTACGAATGAAATCCGTGGTATGCGCACCTGAATTACCACCACCCAAAACCACATGTCTAAGCCTGAACACATAGAATTTCGTCGAAATAGGAGCTTAGAGGTTCTAATGTAAACACATTACGTCGAATGATTCAAATCGTATGGGCTGTCGGATACAAATTGAAACATTAGAATTAGATAAAGGGACGTCTGTTCTGTACATTTCATAATATACGAAACATATACATAGTCGTTTCACAAACACAAACTTAATAATTGTCATATTTTAGCACTTTTCGGCATGACTTATTATTCATTATGCAATTTGCATAAAGTAAAAGTGCATATTCCATGATGTTCCAAGAAGACCCAGTATATGGTTCAAATTGTTTGTTGTGCAGGAGTTTGTTTTTCATCTGGAGGATAAACTACATCCGTCCATTCACAACCACAGCTTTGAAAACATCTTGGCAATAACAGCTTACACCAAACTTTTGACAAATATGCACAGGCCTACCGACTGAATACACAAAATGGTTTCAACGTTCAATATGAAATGTAAATAGTTTGTGATATAATTGTTCTTACAATATACAGTTAAACATCGTTATGTCCAACTCGGCATTCCCGAAGACACAGGTTATGTATGAGTTCAATGATGATTAAATAAAAATCGTTAATGGCCGTCTAAACGTAGAGGGATTGAACAGTCTCACAGTCACAATAAATTATACGAATTGGTTCGATTCCACGGATCTCTGATTTTAATTCCTGGAATACAATATCTTTGAATATCGAACACTTTGTTTTTGTTTATATTCTTGAACGTTTTCAAGAATTCTTAAAACAAAACTTGAATTTTTCAGGCACTGTTGGTAACATATTTAATCTCCATAATTTCCACATTCCAAAAAATGCTTGTAAAAACCAGAATATGAACGTGATCCAGCTTCCCGCCTGAAAACAGAGATAAACACACCTCTTAAAATCTAATGCTATTATTTTGAATTAGTTTGGCTTAAAGTTAACTGAATAAGCAATGGTAACTACATGTAATAGTATCAGCTCATTGACCATTGCATGAATGGACACTGTTTTCGTTGGTTAATAGACACTAATGGTTCCAGCCTTCTAGACAAAATTTAATCCGAAACACTATTTTACCATATTGGATCAATGGTTTATAATACTCATAATATGTATACAAGACTGTAAATTTGGGAACCCGAGACATCGAAACAGGAACGACCCCCGCCACCCTTTACTGTCCCCACGACCACTCCCGTTGCATATTGTAGTTGAGGGGTATGGGGAAAGGGGTTTAAGGGCTGGCACATTGGTAGTATGTGAAATAAAGTCTGCTTTCAAAGTTAATGAATTTATCAAACACGATTCACAGAAGGCAGAAGGGGAGATAATACATACAGGTTAGTAAACATTGGACACCTACCGTTGCTATTGATAAATCAAGGTGGAAATTAGAACCATCTAGCTCTCTCCAATTTTCAAACCTTTGGGCGTCAGAGCAACTGAAAAGTCAAGCAAATTATCAAACAAAAATAACCAAAGCTTAAAGAACTAATCTTGCCTATTGCGGGTCTTTTTTGGGGGATTCAAATGTTATATAAATTATTATTTAAACATTTATTAACATAATACACTCTCTGGGCCATCGAATGGTCCCGATTGTAAGTAGATTAGAACATATCGGCAATTTAAAAGTTTACAGATAAAATAGAGCATCGGGATGTATGATCTAAAGCGCATGTTACCTTGATATTGGCATGCCTAGACTTTGTCCCGCCATAAGTTGATCACACAGGTACGTGAAACCAGCGCTAATAGTACACGCCATTACTAACACCAATATAGTTATAACCATATCTAATATACAATTACCAACAAATAAGAAATGAGAAAGATCCACTCTGAAAACAAAAAAATGACAAAACAGTTTGAAATTTGTTATGATATTCTGTAATATAAATTATGAAATATGTAATAATAATATGTAGTGGGGTGTTTCAAATAAACTCGGTTTCAAATGCAACGATCATTGTATACAATCTATATTGTTTTCCGGATTTCCGCCACATTCGAAATAACGCCGAAATTTAACGCTGTCAACCAACCGTAAGACATACTTACTTTTTATCGGCCTTTTCTCTAAAGAAGAGAAATATGTTAGCTGCGATAAGTATAGCTGGATAAAATATACAAAATATAACAGCTACAGCTAAATCATAATCACAGATAGAACTGGAACCAAATTTAACAGCAAAATAATGTACATTATTCCATGTTGTATAGTTCACATCAGAATACAGCAGGCAATTTTCATTAAACGTCGTCTGAAAATATACAAAACAAAGGAATGAATGAAATTGTGTTAGAGAGGTGGTGTTTGCGATTTTTGACATTTTCCCTCATTCATGACTAGCGATCCAGTGGCAGGAACACGATTCTTCATCATATATAATATAGGACACGCGGTCTCTGTTATCTGGCTAGCTGACCCTTTCACTGCATTTTAGGCCCTTGGATAAAGCAGTGTAAAATGAAATTAAATTGGGTATAACATCTTACTGTTGTGCTCTGACTGGGCTAATGAAGACAGGCATACGCCATGCAGTGTGTTATAAGGGAAATTTTGCCCAAACAGCGGCGCTACGGCCTACTCTTGTATCGAATTCCAACTGGCAAAGGAACTTTTACGTGCACATAAATGTGTACACGGGTTCTCAGTTTTTGTCCCATCTGAAAGACTAGACAGCTGTCCTGTCAGGCCCCCTGTCCTGCACTGTTGACAAGAGGAAACCACGCGGGAAAATCCCGATGAACTTTCTCGGCCAACACCAGGAGCAAACCGGCGACTTCCAGTCTAACTAACCAGCGTCTTACTCACTTAGCCACGGTGGCTCCTGATAAAGCCGTTCACTTGGACCGCTACATACACAACCACTGACAGAAATAATAAGTAAATGGTTGATAAAATGAAATATATATTTATTTTATTGGTACCTCTAGCTGTATTGCAAAGATTAATCAACGAATGGGACCCCTATGCCAGTTGAGCTCCCTATCAACTTCCCGGTGTACCCATGTGTTAAGACGGTCCTATAACAATAACAATGACAAAACACGGGTAATGTTCGAAAGTAGCTAAGAAATACCGGGGAAGTTAGAGGAATGTTCTTTAAAGCAATGTCGTGTTTCAAATATACAGACAAGTTATTGTAGTGTGCGTGCCATGACATCAACCAATTTTAATCCATTATACGAACAACTTTAGAAAAAATTTAGAAAAAGGTCACCTCTTTACGTGAAACCCTGCATTAAAAATACATCTTATATCAAGCAAATGTGCCAGAAACTGGAATGAGGTTTGTTTACATAGTATTCGGGATTAACTAATTTATCAAACAATGTAAACTTATCTTTATGAAAGGTTTGTGATATTTGGTGGAGATTAGTATGTTTGTTATCGAGGATTACCTTAATCTACATCTAAACAATATTTTATCCGAACACGATCAATACTAAATCCGGCTTCAATCATCAATATTACTAGAGAGAAAAGACTGTCTATAAAATATGGTTTCAAACCATCAGGAACATATTTGTTTTGGAAAGTACACAGATATTTCAATAAGAAAAGATTTAAAGTAAGCCTGTATACTTCAAATGCCTTTTTCTACAGAAAGGCTCTAAGTTTTTCGATACATGATGCCCTAGATTTAGAGACGCGCTAGACAATACATGACAATAGGTAAATACTTTTTGGGGGCGGGTTAGAAGCGGGGTGGGGGGGGGGGGTGAGAGAGATTTACATTAGGCTTGTATCACCGACTGGTTAAAGAGATCCTCGATTTGATCTGAATTGAAGATAGACCTGGCATGTTCATGATTAAAGGAAGTCGGCTATCACAGATTGTTATCGATATCTAGTATTAAAATGGTCTCCGCTACACAGAACTCAAACTATGAATCCCATTTTCAATTAACAAATTAAGGTCGCTTGTTACGTTGTGGGGGTAACTGCCAGTCACTGTTTACAAACAAAACCATGTGCGCATGCTATAATATCCATTCTTGACTCTCTGATTTCTAAAAGTGGGGCTTTTGTAACCTATGTGTTTAGTTGTTTACAGTGGATGACGGGTCCACCGTAAGGTCACAACCGGTGTGGGATTTGTAACTTAAAGACGAAACGATTTGTACGTCGGGATTGATGATGGTTGTAACTATTTCAGTGCTGGGGAAAGATTAAAGTATATTATAAAGAATTTCATGATAAATTTAATTAACAGGCCGAATGTTAAGCTTAGAAGGTTTGGGGTAGGAGTGCAACTATGGGTGTTGTAGAGTGTATTATGATAGACACCCGCCCTAAGGATTTTCATTTATAGCCCACCCAGAATGCCACTGTATAACTCAACTCTCGGTCTTTTTGAAAAGGGTTTTCTTTTCTATAATAACAGAAGCATTTCAAACTAGTCTCAGTGCACTAGGCCAATGACAGAGTTCAATTATATTGAATAAATACATATCAAGGACATAATAAATGTGTTTTAAAGTGATTATTGAACGATCTATTGACACAGATTACCATATAACCACATGATAAATTATATCGCTTTAGTGAAGTTTAGGTTCTGATACAATTTTACTTTAGATACTAATATAGACTCGTGCTTCAATCTGGCCGTATCATGATTTAAATAAAGATCTAAGTCTATTAAAGTCCACGGGCGTTATCTGGCCCCGAGTATCTCAAATTTATTTAAGTTAAATTGAACAATACTGAGTAAATTCTTAAGTGGGGCCTGATCATTACTCAACGCGCTTTAGACTAATATAGAGATAAGTGAACACTTCTCAATTAATATAATATTACATAAAGGGTTTTATGTTGGGTTAAATTGTAATGTCGTGTACAGGGGTCAATATAAATGAAATGAAATAAGGTTTAATGTCCTACTGTGTTGATCAATATAAAAAAAGACAACACGTATTGTAAACATATTCATCTGCCAGATTGAATTTCATCCATCACTCACACACTTGTCAATAAAATGTAACATGAAAGGCTGTCGTCTTTTTGTTTGGGATATGATATGAATGTAATTTCGTCAGCTTTCAAATGTCTTCCGTATGGTTAGTGGCGATGGGTGTCATGAATGAGGCAGGGTATAATTACTTTTTCTGGAAAACAACTAATTAATACCATTTCTTATTTTATTTGAGATTCTCCATGGCCAAAATTTTCGTGGTACTTTTTTTTCAGTTTAAAGAACAGTGTAGTCGACATTTAAATTGTGTCATGTGTCTTTACTTAGTCTGCATACTCCAATTATATCGTATTTACCTGGGAGCCTCAATGGCTCAATGGGTAAGGGGTTGGCTTACTAAACAGAAGTTACCAAAATTTCCGAGCGCGATTGCCTTTTTTCAGTGCCTGACAGGGAACAGTGTATAATTGGTCGGATGGGACGAAAATCCAAGGTACCGTATACACATGGGCGTGCACGAAAAAGAACCCTTAACAGGAATTCGAAATTCCGGGTAACGTATGCTCGTATTAATTAGCCCAGTCGGCACAGAACAGTAGGACGTTAAACACCCTTTCATTTCATTTCGTTTCGGATTTACGTGTAAGCCTAAATTCCCTGGTATTTGAAGAATTCGTGTTTATCTATTTTAAGATGAAAGCTAAACCTACATAACTTTAGATTTGGATAGACGTTTAAAGGAACAGTTCCAGTTTTCAAAAGGTATATCATTTAAAGGGTATGCATTTCTACAAGTGGGATTAAGTATGTAAATCCAACGCCAAAATGTGTCTAACTGCTACTTTCACCTCAAAATATTAGGCAGTTCTGATAACAAAGCTACCATGTTCAATATATATGTAGCCATATGTAGGTGCAAAATGATGTACGTTTGGAACCAGTCGCATGAAAACTGGACTGGTATTCCTCGATATAGTTTCACAGAGCTTCAGATAATGGCAAGGGACTAGGCCAAGTGTTTCAAAGAGTTTTTGACAGTTTTATTCATTAAAATATATTAACTGGACAGAGGTCCTTTAATATTTACAAACCGGAGAGCAAACCACTCAAGCATCTGACCACCGCCGCGTTTGGATAGCTAGATCTCAGCATGATGTATATGTTCTAAGTATTATTTACCTATATTATGAAAGTATAATCAAAGTGTATACATGCTCTAGTGATTTCACTACAAAATATCCATATTATTTTATTTTCGGCCTGGAGTTATTATAATGCGATTTTTAAGTAGAATAATATTTGTTATGAATCATATATTGGCGCCAAAAATAATAATTCAAAGCACACTAGACAACAAATATATGAAATATGCGGATGCAATCAGTCCCTTTCACGAACGAATCTTACACCGAGAATATGCAAACTTTACACGTTTTTTATACTGTGTATAATCTATCGATAAGTATAGTATTCAGTGTCTTCAGCGTGTTTAATCCGTGTGAAGTTAAATCAGATTAGTCAAGAATAGTGTCAATAAGGGTGGGTTAGATTCTACATACCACAGAACGCTCTGGAGTTTGATCAAGAATGGGGTCAAAGTGGCTACTTGAGGTTAAATCCCCGTACCTATATATTATGTATATATGCTAATAAAATTTATGTAGACTACTATACTATGTAGGTGTCGGTTGAATGTTTGTATGGGATCAATATAACCTCTTATATATCGTAAAGTGTAACATTAAATTGTCACCTTTTTACTCTCCTATACTATACCAACAATGTTTGTCATGCAGGCTGATTTTTAAAGACCACTTCAACACACTGACAAATGTGTTCATGCTTACCTTTATTAATGATCACGCGTATAAACCTGGAACGGATCCAGTGTGCGCTAAGGCAGGGCGCAACCCCAAGTTTGAGTTGGGACAGGGATGCACAGTTTCTTTAATACATATCTTAAAGTTGCGATTTCATATTTTTAAGTTATATTTTTAAAATTTATTAAAATAAAGCCTTAAAATAGATGGTATCTATAAACAGTTCTACCTTGTTAAAGAATAATCCTATTAATCCTATAATTCACTATTGTCAGTTGAGAAATTGGCAAAAATATGATTTTCATCTTCAAATTCAAACGTTTGAAGATAGCTACTCCATGGTGGAGAATAGAAAACAAGGGAGGTAATTGGGAGGTAATTGTGTTATTATTTCCCGTGTAAATGAGTTTTAAGTGTGAGAATGACACCTATGATTGTATAATAATGAGTTGACAACCTATTGAGCAAAAGACATAGAAATAATTATGTTTTGACTTTCTTAAAAAATATGAAATTGTA